GGTTGTTCTGGTTTCTTTGCTGTGATTTTATTTTCTCTGGTGACATGCATTTAGCCTTAGGAGTGCTCCCATCTAGAGAAGTCCATCTAAAACACTCTGTAGAGGTTGTTTGTGGTAGGCAAATTCCCTCAACTTTTCCTTGTCTGGGAATCGTTTAATCCCTCCTTCATATTTAAATGATAATAGTACTAGATACTGTATTCTTTGTTCGAGGTCCTTCTGTTTCATTGCATCAAATACATCATGCCATTCTCTCTGGCTTGTAAGGTTTCTGTTGAGAAGTCTGATGGTAGTCTGATGGGTTTTCCTTTACAGGTGACCTTTTTTCTCTCTCTTGCTGCCTTTAATACTCTGTCCTTGTCCTTGATCTTTGCCATTTTAATTATTATTTGTCTTGGTTTTGACCTCTTTGGGTCTCTTCTTTTGGGAGTTCTGTGTTCTTCTGTAGTCTGAAAGACTATTTTCTTCCCCAGTTTGGGGAAGTTTTCAGCAATTATTACTTCAAAGACACTTTCTATCCCTTTTTTTCTGTCTTCTTCTTCTGGTACCCCTATAATGTGAATATTGTTCTGTTTGGTTTGGTCATACAGTTCTCTTAATATTCTTTCATTCCTGGAGATCCTTTTGTGTCTCAGTGTCAGCTTCTCTGCATTTCTGTTCTCTGATTTCTATTCCATTAACTGCCTCTTGTACCTCATCTAGTCTGCTTTTAAGTCCTTCCAGAGAGTGTTTTATTTCTCTATTCTCCCTCTGTACTTGCTCCTTTTGCTCTTGCACATTTCTTTGCAGATCCATCAGCATGGTTATGACCTTTATTTTCTATTCTTTTTTGGGGAGATTGGTTAAGTCTATCTCCACAGGCCCTCTCTCAGGGATTGTCCAGACTATTTTGGACCGGACTAAATTCTTTTGCCTTTTCATAGTGATAGAGGTAGCTGTAGGCAGGTAGCACATGTGTCAGCTGGGTGAACAAGGTCCTTTCCTGCTTGCTGGTTGCCTTGCCCTTCTCCGCTGCCTGTGTCAGTTACCCGCACTCCTGGAGCAGCCTCTGGGTTAATCCCCTAAGCTGCTGTGGGTGGGGTCTCTGTCTTGTTAGCTCAGAGCCCTGTGGGGAGTGGCAGGTGTGCCGGGTGTGCTCTCTTGCAAAAGTGGCACCCCTGTGGGACAGCTTTGTGCTAGCAGCAGCCTTTGGGTCTGGCCCGGGTGGCTGTGCACCGAGCTGAGATTCTGGGTGGTTGCTGGGGGTGTGCCTGCTCCTGGCTGCCTCTCTACTGCCGCCACCCACTCCTGCAGGCCACTTCCGGCCCCTCTGGTGCCGCCACCACAGGTGCCCACGGGCAGCACTCGGGCCCCTTTAGCGCCACTGCAGGTGAGCACGGGCCGCTTCCATGCCCCTCTGGCGCTGCTGCCACCGGCATAAGCGGGCCGTTTCTGGGCCACTTGGTCACCGCCATCGTGGGCTCACGTGGGCCGCTCCCTGATCCTCTGGCTCCGCCACCCCCAGCACACGCTGCCACTCTCCCACTACTGGGCTGGTGTGTCGGGGTCCACACCAGTTGGGGGAATGACTGGCAGGCTGCTTATCACCGTGTGGGGCTTCAGAGCTGTGCTGCCACCCAGGGGGTTAGGTCGCTTAGAGTTCCCCTGATTCCCAGGTGCTGGGCTGAGTGTGCCAGGATGACTTCATCAAGCTGTCAGATCCCTGTCCCTTTAAGACTTGCAAAAAGCACTCGCTTTTCTTTTGTCCCAGGGGCATCAGTTGTGGGAACCTGCTCAAATGTTTTGTTTTTCCGTTTCTCTAATATCCAGCACCCTGTGCACTGTGTGTCTGCACTCCCAGTGCAGATTTCTAGGGCTGGTTGTTTAGCAGTCCTGGGCTTTCACTCCCTCCCTGCTCCAACTCCTTTATTCCCACCGGGGTCTGGGGAAGCGGGGTGTTTGGGTCCCACTGGGCCACGTCTTATATCTTACCCCCTTCATGTGATGCTGAGTTCTTGCAGATGTAGATGTAGCCTGGCTGTTGTACTGTATCCACTGGTGTCTCTTTTAGGAATAGTTGTATTTGTTGTAGTTTCAAAAATATATATGTTTTTGGGTGGGGATTTCTGCTGAACTGCTCATGCCACCATCTTGGCTCCTCCTCTTATATTTTAGTGTGCAAGAATTATATAAGTTTTTATAAGACTTGAACTTCAGAGAGTATATATATATGTAAATCAATACCACAAACGGCTTTAGATTTCAGCTGAAGCTTGCGAGGCCCAACTCAGAAAAAAGCAGTTGCAAAATCACCTTTTATCCTAGCAGGACCACGAATACAAATTATTCAGATTAAGAGACTTTTGAAAGGCTGGAATCAGAAAAAAAAAAAAAGAACCACAGACACTGCAGCAAAACACTGGGAAACTTCATGGTGTGTATATTGTACAGGAGCCAATCCAAACTTCTTAAAAGACGGATAGAGCCACCATGCAAGGTGCATTCATTCTTAGGTTCCAGGCTTGGATTATTCACAATGGGTGTGTAAATCTTAAACTGGTGAGGAAAAATCCATTCTGTTGGGGAGTAAACCTGTATACTGTGGAATAAAAAATGTAAGAGAGATGCTGAAGATTCAAATATGAATCCAGGTTATAACACTTTAGAAACAGGTTTTAGTGTACAGCAGTGGTTCTCCAATTGTGGTCTTTCGAACAGCAGCATCAGCATTATCTGGGATCCTGCTAAACATACAAATTATTGGGCCCCACCACAGACCCATGAATCAGGAACTCCGTAGTGGGAGCCCCATACTCCCTGTTTAATAAGTTCTGTAGGTGAATCTGATACATGCTAAAAGTTCAAGTGAATACCGCTGGTATAAGGTATTGATCAATATAACGTTATTATATCGTTTTCTAACAATAACACTGTACTTGGTACTGTACTGAGATGTTTCCAATATCTAAACAAAAAGGAATGTAACCTTTTAGGTCCTGAATTTTTATCACTGTGTATTAAAATGAACATTTAAATGTGTGAGGGAAATCTAAGTATTTTTGGATTTTGTCTTTCATATATTGTGAAAATAGTAAGTCAGGATTTTAAAATATATTAATTTTCAAAAATTAATGAATCATACACTAAAATACAAACAACAGCAGATATTGCTCTTGATATTTGAATACCCTTGAACATTAGAGAATCTATCCACTAGTCAAGTGGAGAGAAGGAAAAGAGGAAGATTAAGATGAGTAAGAACAAGTTAAGGAAAGCAAAAAGCCAAAATAAAGCACATCTGATAGGCTGTGCTGCAACGGACCACAGCTGGACAGGTCGGACCCGAGACCTCAACTGTGAGGAGATGCTCTATTACTAAGCCACAACCCAGGGAGCAAGGGAGGGACCACTCACCCCTGGACACCACTCACCGCCGGTAGCCATGGATACCAAGGGCAAGGTCTAATTAAATTTCTGACCAATATTAAAATGAATTCTTCATTCATGGGGAATAATTGCAATCTCTGATCCCTATTATGAAAGGGATTGAGAGGCCTCAAGAATGGGATTGAAGGGCTGGTTAGTGCAGTCTGCGGGTTGAACATCTAAAGGCATTTAGGCCTGACAGTGCCCAAACTCGGGAGGCTGGTCTTCTGAGTTTGGGAAGGTCTACAGTTCAGGAATCATGTAATAGTTATCACATCCGAGTCTCGTGCTTTATTTCAACTCGCCCGAAAAATAGCTCCACCTTTAAAAATGGCCTGGAACCAGTACTCACATTGGAGTTAAGGCTACCAATGTCAACGTGTCCATTATTTCCATGTTGGGGCCCTTAGAAAGCTTCTTGGGTTAGATCCAACATGCAGTCCCGCCTGTGTCATTTTCTCCTCACTATCTGCCCCGGTGAGGATTGTATCATTTATACGTCTGCTGCCTTCCTCGCATGTGGCAGCCGGTGCGTAAATCGCCTTTCCCAGAATCGAATCTTAATTGTGGTTAAAATTCTATTTTAAAAGAAACGGGAAGGGAAATACTGTTGCAAATATTGCAAATATGTAAGGTGAAACATTACTTGGGGCCTTCCCTTTGAAGGTGCATGTACAAGCGAACCCTCTCATTAACTTCTGATTACATGGGCCAAGTTGGCTTCCTTTGGAAAAACGAGGACAACTCTCGCATACCCCATCCGCACCCACGTCAGGTGATTTTAGTTCAGTAATAAAAGTGGCTATCTGAATAGGAAAGGAGCGCATTTTCGCTGTCTCCACCAGGTGTCCTTAGTCATGCAAGCTTCATCTTTGAGACAGTCCTGTACTCTGAGAGGACAAACCAGGTAAGGACTCTCACTGGCAGGTTGAAGGAAGGGAGACACACATGGCAATTTGTCTAGAATCAAAGGAGCCCCACCAGCGTCAAAGGTACCTGAAGAACGTTCAGCACCGCTGCAACCGCTTGCGAAGGGGCAGCCTTGGCCTCTGGCTGCAGAGGATCCTGCCCCTTGGGCACGGTGGGCGTGAGATGTCTGGCGCTCAAATGCAAATCCAGACCTAGCTTATTAGAAACAACCCTCGCAACACTTCGCGCGCCCAACCACTGCCTCACACTGGAGCCAAGCGGCCTTGAAGATGCGTCCCTAACAGTTGCCCGTGCAGACTGGCAGGCGACTCGCTCCAAGAACCAGGAGGGGAACAGGCAGGGAGGCAGGGGAGAAACGAGAAGGGAATCGGCGGCTCCAGGGAAAAAGACACTACGGCCCCCAGGACATACCCCGCGCCACCAGATGCCCTTCCTATACCACCCAAGAGGAGCGACCATACAGCCACTGACTGAAGGGTCTCTAAACTCCGCGCGTTCCGTCGTTCTCGGGGTTTCTTTGATACATTCGTCTTCTACTCTTGCTGAAGAGAGAAGGAATTGGAACACAAGGAAGGAGCAGCTGTGGTCCGGCGTCTGCCCGCCTCACAGCTGAACTCTCAGTTTGCTCAGGAGTTCACCCACTGAGGTGGGAGTGGCGGCGGGCATAGTCTGCACGTTTGCATGGGGCAGGCGGCGACTGTCATTTCCGCCACAGCTGGGCGCGGGCAGAGACTAGAGATCCGTACGCAGCCGGGGTATTACAGATCACCCGAGATGCGGAACAACGTTAGCTCCCGCACACAGCCCTCTGCAGTAGTACTGGCGCCCGGGTGAGTTCGCACTACTGCTCCAGCGGCTGGCGTGCCAGAGTCGGGCGGCCGGATCTCCCCTCCACGCCTCGCGGCGGGCCCAGAAAGCACTCTCGGCGCCGGGGAGAGGACGGTGCTGGCTGGAAGGTAGGTAAACTCAGGGATGGAACGACGCTCAGCCAGAGCTGGAGAGGGAAGCGACATTGACCAAGCTTTCATCCACTACACGTGGCAGTAAGGTAGGGTCGTTCGACATTTGCTCCGCTGAGTAGTTCTGGTGTACCCGCCCCGGTCAGACGTCTCTCCTCGCCAATGGTCTCACATCTTGCTAGAGGATAAAAACACTGGCTTTAACCGCTTACTTTCAGACATTCGTATTTGTTTATTTTTGTGTCTCTTTTACTCGGTTCCAAACGCTTCACCTTAGCGTTTGCTAAGGTTTTCAACTTTTTTTTGTCCTACTCTCCCTTCCTCTTTTCCACTACGGCTGTGCCCAGAGAGTTTTGGGAACGGGTAAGGCACCACCACAGCTCTTGGCATTTTCTGGCAGATTTCCAGTGCTCCAGTGATCCCAGGAACAGCTGGACTGGTGTCAGGCCAAGCCTTGTAGCAATCCTAGAGAAGGGGCCTCCACAGGGAGCTGGAGGTAAACCCGGTGAGGCCAGGGAGTCTGAAACAAGGAGCAAAGGGCGGGATGCAAGGCGAGGAATAGTGCCCTTGCCCTCCAGTTGCCAAGGCAGGAAAGAGCAGAAGTGAGAGGCAGGGCGGGGCACAGGCTGGCAATATGGCTTGACTCCAAACCACCGGAAAGTCAACGGAGCATCCCAAGCTGACTCCAAGGCAAAGACAGGCCTGGCTTGTGAGGAAGGTTCCTTTTGCCTGACCAGAGACCTGAATGCTCAAATTAGTCCCCCCAAGAGAGGGGAGCAAGGACCATGCCTTTTGTTGCTGACAAGTAGAAGGACAGATGTTGGCAGCTTTGACCGTGAACGTTTCTGAAAAATACTCAATGGCCTCTCCAGCAAAGCCAGTGATCGTCTACACCAGGAAAAGGCCTTTCTGGAACTCGTAGGTCAGCTGCGGACCATTGGTAGCCTTTACCCATGCTGTCTCCAGCAAAATAATCAATACACGACGGCAGTTCCATGTCCGTACCACGGTGTCTCTGGGTGACAGGAGCAATCCCACCCAGCGTCTAACGGGATGTCATTTTTTAATGCGGATTTTTCCCAAGTGTAGATTAAGTAAAACCAAATAATGTATTTCAGATCTCAGTCCGCAGCTTATGCCTAAGACCTGCAGGCCAACAAGTCTCCGCTGTGAGCCTGAACAGATCGCTGCGTGATACTTAAAGCTGTGGCATCCACGCTCCACCCGAGCCCAGAACTTTGGCAGAAATCCGAGAAACTCAGGCGAGCTGCAAGCTCAGACTGGTCCTCATGCGCAACTCGGGCCTTTATTCACTTGGCCAAGTCTTGTATTTCAAGATTCGTCAATTTCTGATCAAGAATGTGGTACACTTCTGTCTGTTGCTGTAATAATGCATGCTTATCTTGGTCAGAGCACATTGTCATGCTGTACTTAAATTATCTGCTTATACATATAGATATGAGTCTTTCTCCCACACACTTCATTCCAAGATTCTCTATACTGTAACATATATCCTGAGCAGAGTACACCGTAATTTATTTCTCATCGCTCTTCATTGGGTAGTTGCAATGTGCCAGGCACTAATGCTAAGGGCTTGAGATAGAGGAATAAGGAAAATCAATTACAGCCTCTGCCCTCCTGAAGCTACCTTAAGAGAGAAGGAAGCAATCAAGTAACACAAACTTACAATGATAAACCTTGCTAAAAGGAAGTACAGGAAACTTACACATTCATAGGCTCCTTGAATGCAGACAGAAGGAGCCAATGTAATTGTAGCTGCATGGCATAAATTTAGGAAAAAATATTGGTCAACAATCAAAGAGGAAAAAAGCACCTACATGCGCTGGGGATGTAGCTCAGTGGTAGAGTGCATGCTTTGCAGGTATGAAGCCCCAGGTCCGGCCCCAGTATCTCCAGGTTAGCTAAATTTTGGACTAGGAATGCCAACTTATCGGGAGCCGGTCCAAACTGCCAGCCTGATGACACAGTCCGGGCAGTTGGATGGAAGGGACTGCACAGCTGTGTTCCCAGAGGAGCAACACCGATATCTCTCCTGCTCAAAATGCCCCTCCTAATAAATATGCTTATTGGTTTCAATTCAAGCTACCCCTTCAGGGAAGAGGCCATATCCAATTGTCCCTGAAAATTTTTGAGTACTGGCCCTAAAGGAAATTGGAAAAAACCACTACTGCCCTTGTGACTACCGCTGGTGATGGGAAAGTGAGACCCCATGAGAATTGGACCCAAGCTTATGGGAAAAAAAGATAAGGAAAATTTACATGGGTCGAGGTTCCTTCCCCCGCCTCTACGTGCATTCAGTGACTAATGATGACAGGTGGGTACAGAGAACAAATGATATTCTTTGGCTAGCCCACCAAAGAACAACCTGGCAAACTATAAAACAAATAAGAACAGGGCATTACCTAACTCCAGATCAGAAAAATCTCCATTATAAGTCTTACTGAAAATGGGTCTGAGGCACAGTCCATAAAATTTCTCCCTATCTGCGAAAAAGTCATCATGTCCTTTTAGAGAAAGCCTCTTTCTTTCCTACCAGAGATGAAGAATGGGTGTATAGCTATGAAAGAATGAGGGCCCTACATAAAAACAATAGAATACTGAACATTAGATAGTCATCTGTAAAGAAACCAAGAGTCTGGCACCTACCTAACCTTTGTAAGATTTTCTGGCCATAATAACTAAGAACAAAGCTTACTTAGAAACAGTTAACTGCTAAGACCTGTCAAATGATTTAATCTCATTCTCCAAACTCGTAACAGTGCCATGTATCAATTGAATGATTAATAACTGTACTGTACTTTATGTAATCAAAGAGTATATAATCAAGCTGCTACTTTTCATTAAAGGCCAGGCTCAGCTTTTGCTAGTGTCTGTGTCCTCATTCATTTTCGCCGATGCTGTTCCTCTTTCAGGGACTCCTGGACTCGCTGGAGCTGTACTCAGGCACCAACTCAGTTTTCTTTCCTTAATCTTTGGCAAGCTTTTCTGCAGGTATGAAATACTTAAATAAACTGGCTGTTGGAGGCATTTAAAGTTGGGTGTATTAAATTACCAGGAACGTTTAAATATTGCCAAACTCCTCCACTTAATAAAAATTATAAATCCAATATATCAAAATCACTTAAATGCCTTAGAACACCTCTAAATCGTGTTACACATTAACAAAATGATTATAAAACCTTCCTCTAAAACAAGATTCTGAGTGGGGTTTACATACAGACAGGCATCAGTTGACTGAAGGTGGATGACTTGTGACCAAAAGTGCAATTCTCTGGAGTATAGTTGACAGCTGATTTATCCTACCTCTTCTCTTAGTTATTTGGATCATCCTCTCTTAGGAGTTAGACTTTGAGCTTTATATCAGGAGCTGTCTAAGCTATTTACTCTAAAATATTTTTTTCAGCCCTGTTATTTATACAAATATATGTGGGGGGGGGTTGTTTCTTTGTTTTACTGTCATATATACAACCTGTTATAAGTCAATTTTTCAACTGCTTGGTGAATGAGGCATGGTCTAATTCAATTGAATCTAAGGTCACTTGAAGTCAATCTTCCCATCAACAAGACCTGAATTGCTAACAGTCTCAAACAAGGAGCTATGGAAATCAGATTAAAATTTTTTGACCAAAGATAGGAGAGAGAACAGAAATACTTGCAAAGATATAATAGGTAGAAAAGTTTATAAAATGCATGCATGGAGTTTCCAGTTGTATCAGTACTCTCTCCACTTTCTGTGTTCCCTGAGGAACAAGGTGGAGCAAAACCTCTGGCTGCTCAGCTGGTCGGTTCATTTATGGTTTATTTCATTCTCCTTTTCCTATCACTTCTAGTTTTACTTTCAATCTTCCATCCCACTTAGTACAGTTGTCTATAAGAAGCTATATAAAAATGCCATTTTGTTGGCATTTTTGTCAACAAGTAGAATTCTGAGTCAATAAAACCTATGGCTCAGTGGTGGAGTGAAGGAATCTTCTTGGAGGATCCAGATTTAATCTCTAGCATTTCCTCTTTCCATTTACCTCTTTAAAGGTCAAGGTATGACCTGAATTCTGTAAACAAAACAAGGCTTTTGGCTTTGACCTATTAGCAACTCTGAAAATACGTTAAAACTGCCAGAATTACAGGCAGTTAAATACAAACATATATGTCTGTTTTTTTTATTATTATTGATGTATCATTCCATGTGCTAGTTGCTCAGTAGGTTAGGTGTTCATACTAAGTAGGCTTTTGATTCCTGCAAGGTCCTCCCTTTTGAATATATCTATTTGCATGAGTCGCCAACATATATTTATTCTGTGTCTTGTGACACAGATGAATGTTTTCTCCCTTTTGATTCTAGGAAAGAAATTTCTCTATTTTCAATTATTGTTCCATAATTTGCTTTCAATAGATCACACTTGCTCTGGCATACAAGCTGTTGACCTAAGGAATGCTGCAATGAACAAATTGAAGACTGATGCCACACTGACCATACAAGCTCGTGATTATTTTTGTGTTCTGTGACAGGGTAACCACTGCACATTTACAAGTAATTTAAATGCATGATAACTCTGTATCACCTTTCAAAGTCTTAGTTTGAAAAAGAAGTGAAGATGCTTAAATGAAGCCTCCTTGCTGCCAATGCTGGGACTTCTTGCTTTGCATGCTATTCCATCAACAATTTGGTTGTGAGGGAGAATAATGCACTGGTGTGTATCCCACTCAGTGATGTTATCTTGCAATAACACTAGGATCTTTGCCACAGGGAAATCCTTCACCCTAACATCCCTTATTTCTGGTTTTGCTTTGAAGCCAACTGTTTTTAAGTAATATATACCATAGAATATACATAAGCTCAGTTAGGATGGACTATTGGTACAGGTTACAATAGGCCTTTTTTAATCATGGGAACTGGTTCTGAAGAAAAAATAGCTTCTCATATAAAAGGTAGCTAGATACATAAACTTGCTCTTCAAATTTGCTCCATTGTGGCTGCTCTTTTAGTAGGCAAAGGAGTCATTGCTATGTTTCTATGGTTGATACTTTGGTTCTGTTCTTTCATAATAACTACTTACATGACCCAATATTAATAAGAAATAACAACCCAAAACATCTTTTTTCCCTATTTAACATACAGAAAGTTAATTGTCATCATCACCTCACCTTTATCACCATCATTTCATTATCACATGTTGGAACACAAGACTTTAACAAGAATAATCCATTAAGTTAAAAAAAGTGAGAGATAACCTTGAATACATCAAAATTAAGTATTTCTTTAGTTTTAGAGAAACTAAAGATTGTTAAAGATTTCAAATGTCTTAAAAATAAAGGATACCTTAGCAAAAATTAACACATTGATGACTGTGATCATTAATTTTTGTATCAACTTGACTGGGCCAAAGGATGACCAGATATCTGATTAAACATTATCTCTGTGTGTGTGTGTGTGTGTGTGTGTGTGAGGTTCCAGAAGAGATTACCTTTTGAATTGGTAAACTGAGTAAATCAAATAATCCCAGTGTGGATGGGTATCATCCAATTTGGTAATGGCCAGAATTAATCAACAAGGCTGAAAGAAAGGTTGAGTTCACCATCTGTCTGCCTGGCTGTTGGAGCTGGAACATTGATTTCTTCCCTTCAGGACTCTTGGTGCCAGGCATTCAGACTCTTGACTGGAATCTACATTGGCCCTTGTCTCTCAGGCATTCAAACTACACCATGCATATGTGATAGATATAACTTATTTGCTCAGTTTCTCTGGAGAACCCTAAGTCAACACAGATTGGGAGACATTATTTGCAATATTTAAAATTAAAAATGAAATAATTCCTAGAATATTCAAAGAACAACTTCAAATCAATAATAAACCTGTCAACTCTTGACATCAGATTTCTTTTAACACATTTATTGAGTATAACTAATACACAGAGATCTTCACATATTTAATGTACACATTTGTGGGTCTGAACATAAGCAAACACCTGTTATGCCATCACTACAATCAAGGTACCAGATAAATCCACCACCTTCCCAAGTTTCCTTCTGTCCTTTTGTATTTGTTGTGTGTGTGAGAGAGACAGAGGGAGAAACAAAGATTTACTCTTTAACAAATTTTGAAGTGTACAGTACCTTATTGTTAATTATAGGCAGTATGTTGTACAGCGGATGTTTATCATAGTCAGCTAGCATAACTGAAACTTTATACCCATTGAACAACAACTCCCCATTTCCTCTACCCCATAGCCCCTGACAATCATTATTATACTCCTTGCTTCAATGAGTTTAACTAGTAGAGATACCTCTAGTGGAATGATGCCTTAACTGTCCTGTGACTGATTTATTTCATCAACATCATGTCCTCCAGCTTCATCCATATTGTTGTAAATGGCAGGATTTCCTTCTTTTTTAAGGCTGAGTAATATTTGTTGTGTGTATGCCACATACGTTTATCTGTCAATGGACAGTTTGGTTCTATTCTTTGACTATTATGAATAATGCTGCAATAAATATGAGAGTGCAGCTATCTTTTACCTTTTGGAGATCCTGATTTCAATTATTTTGGATATATACCCAGAAGTGAGATTGGTGGATCATTTGGGAGTTCCTTTTTTTTTTTTTTATAAAAAAACTCCATACTGTTTTCCATAGCTGCTGCATCATTTTATATTCTCACCAATAGTGTACAAGGTTCCAATTTCTTCATACCCTTGCCAACATTTATCTTTTTAAAAATAATAGCCATACTCAGTATAGCACAGAGAAGACAAGTAGTGACTCTATAGCATCTTACTAGCTGATGGACAGTGACTGCAGTGGGGTGTGTGGGGGACTTGATAATATGGGTGAAGGTAGTAACCACAATGTTGCTCATGTGAAACCTTCATAAGATTGTATATCAATGATTCCTTAATAAAAAAAGGAGGGAAAGAGGAAAAAATAATAGCAATAGCCATCCTAACAGCTGTGAGGTGATATCTCATTGTAGTTTTAATTTACATTTTACATATATTATCATGTACATTTTAAATATATTGCAATTTTATTTGTCAATTACACCTCAATAAAGCTGAAAAAAATAAATACACTGCATAGATTTTCAAGAAACTAAAGTTATTCTTTGATGGAAATAAAAATTAGGTTTGAAATATATTTAAATATATAATATGAAGCAAATAATACAAATATTAAATACAAAAATTTTAACTTTCTGTTTTGGACACTTTAAAACAAAATAGAGATTATTCTATAATAAATTCCTATGCATCTATCACACAGCTTCAGCATTTGTCATCATTTTGTTGTTCTTGTTTTATCTTTACCAACTTTCATTTTCTACTTTTGCTTTTATCCCCCAGAATGTATATCAAATTCCAAATATTAATATCAGCAACAAATATTTTAGCATATATAAATAATAGTTATGAACTTTCTTTTTAGCATTACCATAGTAATATCACAACCAGCAAAATTAACAAAATTTAATACAATCTAATGCACAGTCCATGTTCAATTGTTTCATTTTCCAATTATCTTATTTTGAATCATGATCCAGTTCTTCCATTGGTTGGCCTTTTCTTATATATCATTTAATCTGTATTAGTTCCACCTCCTTCATGTCATTTATTTCTGGAGGGCCAGTTTTTAAGGAGAATTTCCCACATTCTGGATTTGACTGACTGCATCCTATGGTGTTACTAAACATATTCCTATATTCTTTAGATTTACTGTAAACAGATGGCTCCATATGTTTGACTGGACAAAGTATTAATTTTTAACACAAGTATTTCACTAGTGGTGCCAAAAATGTTTTATTTCACTGTGTCAAAGGGCACATGATGTGTAGTTGTCTCACTTTCGGTGATGTGTAATTTATCATTGGG